TTTTTTTTTTTGGTTTTCCCTCTTGATGGACATGAGATGGAGAAATACTTCTCTATTACAGGAAAACCATGCAAATGTGTAGAACAAGGCTTCGCTTTGTTGGTGGAAGTGCAGGAAACTGGGGAGCGATGTCTTATCTAAAAGGGCAAATGTTACTCAGCATCTCCCATGGTGGTAAAGCAGATGGGTGAGCTTAGTTATGGCAAAATTTCTTATTTTTTGAGGTTAGAAATTTCTTATTTTTATGCAAGGTCTTCTAAGTTTTGAATGTTGGCTAAAGTTGTTTAGGACACTGCCAGCCAAACAGTGAGAACACACGTTGGCTGTGGCCCATGAACCCACATCTCAGTCTACTCTTGGTCCTCTGAAAGACAGACCTTTTGTCAAATAGCAGTCCCCTATGAGGGCTGAGGATGTGAATGTTGAAGGTACAAAGGCAGGATGGGAGAGCCAACCCACTAAAAATCTAGTGACAGGACCCCAGCCTGAAGAGACATTGGCAAAATAGTTAGATCCACAGTGATACTGTGACCTTAGGACAGATGGCAAGAGATGAACTCTCTGCATGGGCTTCCTGCATGGACTGAGAGTGCTGAGCATTTCTGGTATATGCAAGGTTGTGAGGTCCAGATTCAGATCTTACTATTATATTAAAACAATGACAGAAGGATGCTCAGCTGTTTTGTACAAACACACGAGAGCTACAAGCTGGATCTGAGAGCTGAGCAGTTGAGGGCAGACAAGGCAGGTCTTGCCCTGTGACTTTTTTTAAACAGAGACAGGGTCTTCTATGTTGTCCAGGCTGGAGCATAGCAGCTATTCATAGCTCATCACAGCTTTGAACTTGAACATATCAAGACATCCTCCTGGTGAGCCTCCCAAGTAACTGGGACTACAGGCATGTGCCACTACGTTCAGCCTTCCCCATAATCTTGCTCATGGCAAGTGTCAGTGCTGAGTAGGAAAATGCCAGGATAAAGCCAACTTTTCTAGTGCACTAAATTCAAAAGTGTGGACTGACGTACTGCCACCACTGCTTTCACAGTGTTTGGTGACCTAGGCGGCCCTAAAGATTTGAAACACAGGCCTCTCCAATTTAAAGTGGGAGTTCTGGTGCCCATTCAGCAGAGTTTCAAAGTCAATCATGACCCAATTCATAATCATGGCTCATACTGGGACTATTATAGAAATACACCCAGTGCATCAAATGACAGAACCTGAGAAGGAAGCAAATAGGGAGAAATCCTCTTTCTTCAACACTGGGATCTACAAAGGGTTACTTCACCACTCAGGAATAAGGGGCAACAGAGGAGAAAAAGCAGTTTAGCTTAGCAGGAATGAAGTCCTGATCAAATCCTAAGACTATTAACAATTGCTAGCTATGTGCATCTTGGATTTCTAGCTTGTTGCCCATGTCTCCCCATTTAGGGCTTGTGCCAGTTGCTCACTAAGCCTTGTACTGAACGTGTACCCCCATCCCCACTCCACTGAGCCCAGCCTGGGGCAGGCTGGGGTCCTTTTGCCCTATTCTTCCATTCTATGCTCCAAACTTCTAGGGAGTTTTTAGTTTGTCACCAAAAAAGAGAAAAAAAGAAAAAGGACTATGCTTGGGCAAGTCTGAATCTTCCTCCACTATGAGAAACTGGAGTGTAGCCTCTATAAGGCAGAGGCTAATGTCTACAGCATAGTTTACCCTCCCCTTGTCAGGGTAGGAAAGTAGCACAGAAAGGAAAGACTAAGAATATGGTGGGTATTTGGGGGGAGAAATGTTACCAAGGGAACCAGTCAAGAGGGCCTTCAAAAAGCCTCCCATACAAATTCCCTTTCCAAAAGGAGCCTAGACTCAGTTTTAGGGGTTCTTTTTTTTTTTTTT